CTTGTAATGCTATGGAAAATAATATGTACGGAAGGGTAATTCAAATATTTCTTTTTTATCAACTTCTACAGACTCTTGGTCCGTACTCTTTTTTGCACAGTTTATTTTTCTTTTCTTTTTTCTTTGTTGCGTAATCCTTATAACACTAGTGAGTTCCTTTAAATCAAATAATTACGTACCTTTAGCTGTGCTAAAGGCCGTACGCGCTATTATAGAGTAACTAATAGTTTTATTACGTAATAAACAACAGTAATACAACACTATAAACCAAGTTACCTTTTATTATTATTTGTAATAATCCCTTGTGATTATCTTTCGAAGATTCTAGATGCCTTTGTAAACTCTAGAACTATTTTATGATACCACGTACAAACTGTTCGTCAGGATTTACGATAGGATAGGGTTTAATGTTAAAATCATAAAGGTATAAATCGAATATAGAAAAGGGCATTCTGGATTTAAAAATGCTATTTCTTAGTAAAATGTCTATATTCTACCTACTTCTTTTTATGTCCTTTTACTTCGATAAAACCCTGGCAATGATTTCCATATTACCTCAACCACAACGAAAGCGTGACAGTTGATATCTCTCAACTTCCTAATTCAAACAAAATATCATTGAAACAAGACACTTATCGCGAAAGTACGTCATTATTCGACAGATAATATTTTGTTACAACTACAAAGGATTATTGATGTATATACGTCTATATCCACTTGAAGTTAGTCGCGATACCAATAAAATAATAAAATGTTTTAGCCCTAACTGTAATTGGGATACGTCAGTGATAATCTTACTAAGATTATAAATGTGAAAGTTTAGATGGATGGATGAATGGATGGATGTTTGTTAGAGTTTGTAACCTAAACCGCTGAACGGATTTCGATGAAATTTAGCATAGATGTAAAGGAAAGTCTGGAGGAACACATAGGCTATTCACTTTTATTTTTTTCAATTCCACGCGAACGGAGTCGCGGGCGAAAGCTAGTCACTAATAATAGGCAGAGGCCACGGATACTCGCTTCCACATTCATTATTCTCAATATTCAATAACATTTTTATAGCTAGCTAGTAAGCTGTCGCCCGACTCCCACTGAGCGGAATGAAAATGAGACACAATATTACGAGTGGAAGCCTATGTGTTCTTCTAGACTATGTTCTACATCTATGACATACACTGAGATCCATTGCGCCGTTATCTAGATACATGGTATCAAACATCCCTCTATTAGAACGTTCGAATTTATAATATTGATATGCTTAAAAAGACAGATTAAGGCTTAGTCATTACTTAAAACTCATGTACCTACTCATAATACTTAAAACTAGTTGTTAGGATTAAAAAGTATGCATATTTTTGCGTTTGTTTTATTAAATTTTTCGTCATGTTTTAATTTCCTCGCTTAAGTATTTGTATAAGTGCTGTGGGCGTTCATTAAATACTGTGTTATTTGAATGATGAATTTCACAGCGGGGTAGTCAGCTTTTATACTGTAATTTCGTACAGAAATAAAAATGTTTTCATGCAATTATTATTTTAATGATGTCATTGTAGCTGTGTTGTTTTATAACAAGACAATTTTGCTCGAAACCAATTGTTTTTGTAACTTGACTCAGCTCATTTAATTAATTGGAAATGCTTTGTTGATGCAAAGGTAATATAAACCCATCCAATTGATTAGAAAGATGTTCAACGCCAAATGTTAAATTATTTGTTATTCTATTACGACGAAAGTTGACAATTCAAATATTTGCTGTTGATTCTTACCAGGCGCTATAAAAAACTTTAATTTTTAATGTAGAAATGTATTTAAAAAATCTTAAATATGATACAAAAACATAAAAAATTGCGTCAACATTTGACTGTTTGACCTTTATCGCCAGGGGGAGTTGGTGGTTGTACTTATGCTGTAATAACACCGCTAGAAATGGGAATGCTCTTTGTTATTGAGGTGTATGCTCGTTTATTTAATGCGTTCTTTACTGCAGTGAATTTGCTAGACGACTTGACATATTACCTTTGAGTTTCAGTTAGTCAGATTATAATCTAAATTTCTAAAAGAAATTTACTCTTAGTCATGGAACTAGAAATTTGCACACATTCTACATGAGTAAATTATAATAAAAATTAACACATTAAAAGTTTAGTGAGACATTACTACACCAAATTAGAAAACACTGACTGCTTAACTCACGTGTACTGTGTGGGTAAGACCCGCAGTAGGTTTTTCAAGATGAGTAAAAAACTATATTAGGAGCCGTGTCTCACTGTGCACATTTATATACGAGTATATACTTTCACACATTTCTGAAATAAATAATAGTTAACTTATTTCAATATGGATAATTTAAGATTACATTCTATTTAGAATACAAAGTACAAACGATATATAACCAATATCGTTATGAAACGATAAAATTTGTTTTCGTTCATTGGACAAACATCAAAGGAGTTCGTTAGGAGATTGAAAATTATCTTCAGGATAAATCCAAATTGTCTGATATTAAAGCTTTTGATTTGTAACAGATTAAAGAAAACGGATAAGGAAATGAATATTGAAAACAACATGTACTACATATGTAAATAGCTTTACCCCGCGACTTAGTCCACGCGGGATTAGAAAAAAACCTTGGTAAACCGTTTTTCAGACTATATCTATGTTAAATTTCGTAGCGAATCTTAGGTGTTGCGGAGATACCTTCTAACATCCATCTAAACATTTCCATTTAGAATAATTAGTAAGAGTACCAAAGATTTTCTTAGTAAGATAATTGTATAATACAAGGTCTTGCTCTCGCTTTCGTTTAATATATAACGGTAAAAGAATTTTAGAAATCGGTTTAAAAGCTTTATTGTTATTTCATTATTTAAAAAAATACAAATAATTCCTCTTTTTAATATTAGTATGGCCATATTACATATTTCTGATAATTAGGTGTATTACATAATAGCGATGAAAATAACACCATTATTAACAATAGTATACCACGAATTCGCATGTTCACAATTTCATGATGAGTTCAGGAGCTCAAATTAACATCGACCATCATGTTTTTGAAAACTTGACGGAATGTTTTCCTCATTTTCTACGTTTGATTTGAATTTGAGTCGGACTGAACGCCCAACAGCCGCGAACGATTTACTGTAATAAAAACAAACATTTCGCATTTACGCGAGTTTTTAGTTTATATTTCCTGTATTTTTTGCGGACAATGAATTTACACGTTTATTCTTTGATGTGTTATGACGACGCAAATAAACAGTTATTTCGTATTTCACCACCAACTCAGCAATCTCAAAACATTTCAAACGTAGGAGAGACAAATGCTTTCAAATAAATTCTTAACAATTTGTATTCGGAATTGGATAAGATTAATTTACAATACAATTATTATTTTCATTAAGACAGACATTTTAGTATTTATTAGTATTTTGATATGCGTGAAGCAAAAACTTTATACGCTGTTTTAAGGAAACTACGAGAACAATCAAACGTTAATGCTAAGAAGTGAAAACCTAAATATATATTTTAAAAAAATGATTCTGAATAAAATGACCCCTAATGATGGAATGGATGAATTTTTTAAGAAGTAAAAGGTTAGCAAAGTATGGGCATGTTATGGGGAGAGATGAATGGCATGTAACAAGGAGAACGTTAGTAATGAGTATAGGTACACTGGTATTGGTAGACCTAGAAAGAGATCAATGGATTGCGTGAAATGTAACATGAAGAACGGAAGGATGACTGAAATGATGGAAAAAGGATTTACCATGGTGCGCCAACATTAGGGAAGGATAAGGACAGAGGGATTATGATTTAAGCCGTCCTATATTGTAAAATGTTAGCCCTTCTTGGAAATCATCCATGAAATCGTAGTAATAGTTCGTGAGTAAATAAAAAGTGATATTGGAATACTGTCTTTTCCAATAGATGTCTGGAAGCGTGCTTAGGAGAATGTCAACGACATGAAAACGGATCCGGCTTTGTTTGTCCGCCGCCGCGCCGGAAGCTCAGCTAGGGAAATTAAATTCTTACAACGATCGAGGAATACATGACTTTGAAAAACAAAAGAATGCTTTGCCAATAGGAATACGATCTAGGTAAATACGGCTACCGAAATTAAAAGTTAGCTAGATTTACATATATACATTTAATAAAATTGGAGTGTCTGTTTGTAATAACAAAAGAAAAATTCCAGATTACAGGAAGATGTTGTATTTGCGTTGCTGATAACGAAATTCGCATTTAAAACCATATTGACCGGACTTTCACTGAAGGGTAGCTGACATAGACGGGCATATTATAGGCTACTTCTTTTATCTTAATATTGCGTGGATAAAGTCGCGGGCAACAGCTAGTTTTTAATAAAATAAGGGGTCTTATCATTAAATGCTTAGATAGATTGAAATACATTTCAGCTAAAAGATGAACCATTTTATTGTTGGCCAGTGCTGACGCGTATTTTTGACTAATTATGGTTATTGGAATGCGTGGGCTTACGAAATGCGATCACGGCCTCTAATAATAATGTACTTATAACAACCAGTACTTAATTATAATGAAATAATAGCGTCGTCCATAATATTAATCAGCTATAGTTAAAGAGTTGGTTAATGTAAAATTTAAACGTAATATTGCTACAGTTTTGCTGTAATGTAATGATGAGTCTGAAAATAAGTTTTTCACTGTAAGAAACGAAAGGGTATTGGTGTTAGGAGTTACGATTTTATGACTGTAGTTAGCACTGACTATAAACTAATGTGTTCAGTTTGAAAGAGATGTCTAGTTCTGGATATACGTGGTTCAATAATAACTGTGATTTAAGTTCAAACAGTCAATCGGAAACTTTGAAATGTTAATACGAAACTGGAAAACAAGTACCGAATGTTTTACCGAGTACCTTTTCTTCTTAGAACGTAAAGTGTATGATAACTGTTTTAGCCAGTCTATAATGAGGGTTTTAAATTTTTGTGTTTTTCCACAGATGGTGAGGAATCCTGGCTTCATCAGAAAAATTCCGATTTAAACTACAATGGACAACGATATTGTTCGTTCTTCATTTATAATTTGTAACTTCAACAAAGGAATGGTTAGATAAATTAACAAAATGATGGATTATTTCAAATTCGGCTCTATAACATTCCTGATGTGCAACTTGTGTAGCGCAAGTGGGGTGGACAGGAGATATCTAAATGAAACTTTAACAATCGATTCAATAAACAATCTACAAAAGACCTCTTACATTTTAAATGATGCAACATATACGAACATAGAAAGTAGAAATTATAATAATAAAATAATCAAAAGATCTGCAAACATTACTGAAGATTTAATAAACGATGAGTTTTTAGAATTGAATGTAAACAAAACTAAAACAACAAACAATGAGATGGATGCAAGTAAAAACAATGAAACCAAAGAAGTCACATCAGACGAAGATTTAACAACGGAATTCTATGATCAATACAATTATACTGAAGAACCATGCGTCGGAGACCCGGAGTTTTGCAACATGACAAAAGAAGAATATTTATTAATGTTATATGACTATATATACCCGCAGCCGTACGAGTGGGTGCTCATAGCAACACATGCGATAGTGTTCGTCATCGGTCTGATAGGCAACGCTCTCGTCTGCATAGCTGTGTATAGAAACCATTCAATGAGGACGGTGACTAATTATTTCATAGTAAACTTGGCGGTTGCTGACTTTATGGTGATTTTGATCTGCTTGCCGCCAACTGTGTTATGGGATGTCACTGAGACATGGTTCTTTGGAACTGCTATGTGTCGGATCGTGTTGTACTTTCAGGTTAGTGTATTGTTTTGATAAGATAAATTAATAGTTACTTTTATAAGCTTTTAAGTATAAAAGGGCAAGGTTTTGTTTAATAGAACACTGAAGGAAGAATGTTAACTTTGGTGTCCAAGAAAGAATAAATATTTTTATTCTTTTTGCAGTCGGTGTCAGTAACGGTGTCGGTTCTGACACTCACCTTCATCTCAGTAGACCGCTGGTATGCGATCTGTTTCCCGCTCAAGTTCAAGTCCACGACCGGCCGCGCTAAAACAGCCATCTTAATCATATGGCTATTGTCTCTGTTGTTCAGTAAGTCTTTATATTCAAGTCGTTGCATATCTAATTAATTTTGAAAATTAATTTCTAAGTGATCGATTTAAAAGGTTTGACCAGTCAAGTAATGTCATATAATCATCATGAAATCTTTGTTAACGCTTGTTTTTTTCTATCAAACAATTTAATATTTAAAGCCCTATTCTTGATATTTATTTGGTTGGTTGGTTCTTAATCTATAAAAGCACTGGTAATATCTTATTTCGCTTACTTCGAGATATCCTAACAATCAGAACATAATAGTATGATCTCCAAAATGTATGCAAATAAACAAGAATAGGAATCCGATAAAATGTACAGTATTTTTACAGACGTACCAGAATTCGTAGTGCTGCAGGTGGAAAGGAAGATGGAGTTGAGATTCAACGTGCAGTATTTCATGCAGTGCACCTCCACCTGGTCAGACGATAGTGACCTCAAGTGGCACATAATAAAGGCACTTTTCCTGTACACGTGAGTTACGATTTGTATATCGAGGTAGACACCATTGTTGTATAAATGCCAAGGGCATTCATAATTTATTGTAGCGACATCTTTTGCAACAGTTCTGCGAGCGTTAACAATTTCTATTATAAAGAATGAACTCGTCTTTTGTATGTTGAGATGGAGAGATGAAGCCACATCTAAATGTTCTATTCATTAATGTTGGAGGAATCTATGTTTTCAGTTACTATAGTTATTGTCAAATATTCATTTTTATTATTTGGATTTCCATAAAGGTTTAACTTAAATTTCTTATGAGGTTTGTACGCAATGTAAGCAATATCATATTTGTCATATAAGTATTGTGTAACGTTTTGCTCGATCTATTTTTTATCATTCGCTCCACTGAAGCCAGTATTACTTTAATATTACTTACGCAACCAAAATTGTTCCCTTTGGTAATGTGTCTTTGATGCTGATCGATTTGGAATAGATTACACCTCGGTACTGTTCACATTTTATTCAGAGCGTCGGTAACTAAGGGGCTATGTACTTGACTTGTAGGTTTTTTAGATTTTGCATGTAACCGCTTGGAGTAACGAATGAACTGATTTTGTTCAGTGAGGTGTCATTCTATTCGCGAATTTCACTTGATTGTTATAGAGATGTAACGGTCGACTTCCTTATTTGTTTTAATTTACTTTATGTTTTTAACGATCAGGTTTCCTCTACTGCTGATGATGATCGCGTACTGTCAGATCGTGCGCGTGCTTTGGAGGTCAGACAACATCCCCGGCCACACAGAGTCACACAAACTGTGCTCCGCGCCGAGCGGACAGACTAACTGTAAGTAAGGTTACATGGATGGTAGGAAGGAAAAGTGGATTTGACGGTGGAGGAGACGCATAGAAAGGAAAATGTCCTCTTTGTGTACGTTTCCTCCCCCGTCATTTAAGGGTAGGCAACGTGTTTTCATTTGTTGTTTATGGGCAGCGGTCGCTTTCCATTTCGGTGGATTCAGGTGGCCCCTTGCTCGTTTGCCACATAATATTATAAAAAAAATTAAAACTAACCTATTTAATAATTTCACTAGCTGTTCCCGTGCGGCTTCATTCGCATTCAATCAAATTATCAATTGTAAATGTCAAAATTACCATTACCATAATAACCTTGCTTTTTTAATGTTGGCAGCTTGTAATTTCTGGTGCCTTTCCCACATGAGGGTTTATTCTAATTTATTTACCTCAGAAGTTCAATAGCGTGAAAATATATAGTCTAAATCGTTTACTTTTTATTAAAGCAAGAATTATACAAAAATATTCTGCGATTGCTGACATCCTACGCCACAAAGTAGTGTGTGTTTACGCTTTATTATATTTGTATAGAAATATAGATATCTGAGTTTTTTCATTAAATCAAAGGAAATCGTAGTCATGACCATTAGTAGGGTTTTATCAATATTTTTTCCGATAAATGAAGGCGTGGAAATTTATTTCAGCAAAGGCTTTATTTCTGAAATTAATGAATCCTTATTTCATAAATCAATTCCGCTTCATTAAAAATTTCCAGATTTTTTTCCGATGAAATAATTAATCGCGTCCGAGCATTTTGTAAAGAAGCGGTAATGAAAATCAATTTATCAAAAGCAATTTCACGCGCACTGGAATCCATCACAATTTGACATGGGCGCTGTGTAAGGGCCGGCGCACACTAAAACAATTTGCCGACGCGTTCTGTTTATGGCGAAATCAATTACGAACTCGTCTTTTTCAAACGATATGACAACAACAGAAATATCGGAAAAGAAATTAAATTATTACAGAACAGCGATGCGATGTCTCAAAATACTTTATAGCCAGAATAGGTTTCCATATAAAACAGTGTTTCAAATAAGTTTCAGTGCTCGGAGCGATTATTTGATAAATCATTGGTATTCAAAAATTATAATGTGTAGACTTGCGAAATGCGATTTTGACGAATCTATACATATAATAAAATTGGAGTGTCTGTTTGTAATATCAAAAGAAAAATTCCAGATTTCGGGAAGATGATGTATTTGAGTTGCTGATGACGAAAATCGCATTTAATTTTTTTTGTCTGTCTGTCTGTCTGACCACAAACCGCATTTGTTCCGGGTAATCTCCGAAACGGCTGGACCTATTAGGACCAGATTTTCACTGAAAGGTAGCAGAGATAGACATATTACAGGCTTTGTGTGCACGAAGTCGCGGACAACAGCTAGTATACAATAAAGTGCTTCTAAATCACGTTGAAGTCCATTATATCAATCAACGGAGGTCCAAGAGTGTCAAACATAATTAAACGGTGTTCAAATATTTTGGAATAATAACAGAATATGAAAATTACCTATTTAAATATACATTTATATTGCATCTGTCTTTTTCTGTAGACATAAAAGTTACACGTAGCCGAAAGCAATCACCAACAAACGCAAAATTACCCTCAAATACAGTTCTCTATCATTTTTCGTACAAAAAACCACATTTACTCATATTACAAGTGTTTGTTGTAACGCTTATTAGTTTTGTCACATCTGTCTTCTACATTTTATTATCGAAATCATTGTTTCCTTTTACTATTTCCTTTGTTTTATGCACGTTTATGTTGTTAAATAAAACAAAGGTTTTTTATTGCCTAGCTAATGAACTATCTGCTTCTTTGTTAATCTTTTGTCTTATTGGTATGAGACCATTTAAGTTGAATACTGAATCGTCACATAACGCCAAGCTGTGTATTACTCGTGTTTTAGTTTAAATTTAAATAAAACATAGTATTGAATGCGGTATACCAGACTGTAATCTATTACTATAAAAACTATCATCCAGATCTAGTCATCCGTTTAGGAGTTTCCTGTAATATCCATCTAAACTTTCGCTTTTATAATATTAGTATGATGGCATTAATCTTCCGACCACAGCCATACTATCTGAAATTGTGTTTCTGTAAGTAATTTAAGCTAATAAGGCCCTGTCCCACCACTGGCTGATAGAGGCTCAGATAGCTTAAAAGTGACGTGATTGTCACATAGAGTACAAAAATCTTATATTTCAATCACAAATTTGATACGTTGGATTGTTATCAGACTATTTAGAAGAATTGTGCGACAGGCCCTAAATGTATTATATTTAATTGATTACAACGTGCCACGACATACTAATTCAAAGCAAATCACTCAATGAGACCTCAACTGCAATGTTGGTTCGTAAGTTGAAGTAAATCTCCAATGACGGTACAACGTCACGAACGATATTTTCGTTGATTTTCTTTGTAGCCTGTTGTTTGCTATTAACGAACAAACTTCGTTCTTACTAAGTAAAGTCCATTTGACTGGTAATATTGTAAAATTATAGCATCTTAACTGTAGTTTTTTTATTGTTTTTGTGGCAGGGCTGGCTGCCAACAGACGCACGACGCCCTCTATTCACGCAAACGCGTCTACCGAGGGCCAGCTGCGGTCGCGGCGCAAGGCGGCAAAGATGCTGGTGGCCGTCGTCGCCATGTTCGCTGTGTGCTATTTCCCCGTACATCTACTCTCCGTGCTCAGGTCTTTTTTCTTTTAGATCGATTTTTTACTGTAATGTAGACCAATAGATAATGGTAGATTAGTCTATTGATTGAATATTGCAGTTGCTGTTGTAAGTTTCTGATCTTTGACTTTACTATTCTAAGTAATAACGTCCCGTTAAGCCTCTTCTTTTGCTGGCAACAAATTATTTCAAACTATTGTCTACAAAACGTTAAAGCTAAATCCCGAAGAAGATTGGAAGAATGGAAGTCATTCCTTTATTTCGTTTAAGCAGTGATGTAACAGCTATTACCAACAGGGTGGCGTACGACGTGCAGCAAAGCGACGTGATGACGTG